GAAGAAAATAAAGTTTTACTGAGATAGAATTAAATTAACCAAATATAGAAGCATGTCACATTATTATTTGCTGACCACTATATTTCCAGCACCTAGAACAGTATCTGGCACTTACTTAATAGACAGTCAAGACGTTTCTTTTATGGGATGAGTCAACACCACAAAGATTTCAAGTGTACCAAATAATCTAAAATCTTAATTGATTCTCAATTAAAATCAACCCAAGAGACTCTTAGTAGACTTTGTTCAATTCACCTATCATATTTTTAAAAATCATAAGTGGGTAAAATATCAAAAGTATTAACATATGTTTTAAGTTGTCCTTGAGTGATTCTCAAAGCATTCTAAGCACCTGTTGAGCAAACATTAATGATGGTCAAACAGCTTGAACAATATTTCACAAAAGCCTAAATCCAGTTCCTGAAATCAGCAGTCCTCAAAGCAGTCACACCAAGACCTGTTCAGGGGGTCTAAATTAATTCAAAGGGTCAAAACCATTTTCAAGATAATACCAAGAGACTTTTATATTAGCCTTCTCATTCTCATTTTCTCCGAACTGACAGTGGAGTCTCCCAGAGGCCACATATATGACATTGCTACAGACTGAATGCACAAGCAGGTGAAAATCAAGCTATCGTCTACTAAGCCAGACAGTAAGGAAGTATGCAAAAATGTTTAACACCACTCTTTTCATTTTTTGAAAATGAATATTTAATGTTATTAATATGTAATGTTTTTTAATTAATATTTTAAGACCACTTGTTTAATTTGTAATATGGTTAAGTATCGATAGTTATAAGCCACATACACAAAAACCTTTTGGGGTTCCTTAGCAATTTAATAATGTACAGGATCCTAGGACCAAAAAGTCTGAGAATTGCTATTTTAACCTAACCACTGACATTCAATTCCTCAGTTAAACAATGCTTTGCCCACCTTATAGATAAATTCCAAGACTAGAATAAGCTTAGGATAAGTATAAAAGCACAACTGGTGAGCAAGTAACATTAAAAGCAGCTGCATCAGCTCCCCAGAGATCACCGGCGTAGTATATGCTAATAACACAAGTTTATCATCTTATTCATTTATAACAAATTAGGCCTTTTTGCCTCCTTCCACATATCAATTTCCTGAAGTATCACTGTAAAAACATGGTAATCCAAGAAAATACTCAGATCATGCACTTTTCTTTTCTGGTCTAAAGTATACATATAGAGACTTTTTTAAATTAATTCAAATATATACCAATGAGAAATAAATTCCTTTGTTGAATTACACTATTTGGACTATTTGTCACTTGGACCACTCCCTGTCTGGGAATCTTTGAAGTACCTGCCATACTCATGGCTCCTTCTGGACAGGTTCCTTGAGCAGATCACCATGTTTTCTATCAGAGGGGAAGGACCACACTACCCTGACTGACCAGGATGAATGTCTGACACCAGGGCAATCATCTAACCATTAGGCAGCAATCTCAGAGAGCCAGAACTCCAAAAGAGGGAGTTGCCAGTAATGAGAGGAGTCTTATCCGTAGCTAAAAGCAAAGAATAGTGGAGTCACTACTCTGGCTCACCACTGGTGTAGAGAATCACAGCAACAAATCTGATACTGAAGCTACCCCAGGAAACTTTCTAGTTCCTGAATGACATCCCCACCTCCATAATATCTGACACTGGGATAGGTGAAATAATTATCTTCCTTCCTTCTACATCCTTGGGGGAGGTAATTAATCCCATTAAGATAACACACCAGATTCCTTCTAACCTGAAAAATATAACTACCATACTTAGGGGATCCTAACAAAAAAAGAACCAGAATGAAGAATTGGAGGCTGACTAGATAGTCCAGACCTTTCTTCTCTGCACACATCAATGAGAACCTCCATCACACTGTGTAAATGAAAAAAGGACATCACTAGAGTACACAAGCTCCCATAAGGTCCCATTATGTAAACTGATAACTGAAAAGGTTTTAGAAAGAAATGAAAATAGTGGCCTTATGTTCTGTATGATATGTAAATATTAAATCTTATCCCTCATCTCGAGAGTTTCCCCAAATGAAAAGTCAGGGAAATTTGCTAAATAAACACACTATTATAACCTCATTCTCAGAAATACACAAGCTGGAACAAAATTCTACAATTTAGTCTTTAAACAAAAGTCAGTCACGGATATCACAAGACATATGCTATCTGAATAAAACCAGATGCTCAGATTAAATAAAACCTAATTTTAAATGAACACTAAAAAATTAAAATAAAGGTTAATTACATATAAGGCTAAGAGGATTGAAACAGTGAAGTATTTTATGTCCTTTCCAATAGGACACTTTTTTCTGAAAAGTGGCTCAGGGCCTTGTCTTGACAACAGATAAATAGCTGCTCATTTCTCACCCAGTTCCACCTGGCGAGAAACATGCTAGGCTGACAATAGCTTGGAAAGGAAGGGGAGGTGAGATGAAGGTAAAATTTTTAAAAGTGGAGATCTTTGTACTAGAGGAAAACCAGATAAATCTCATTTTACACAAGCAAGAATATTAATCCTGAAATAGGACTTTCTCCTAGACTTTCTTCTCAGTCTGTGCTTCTGTTCCTTTTACAAACATTCAGTTCCAGGCCACCACAATAAAGCAAATGTCAGAACAAAGCAAGTCACATGAACTTTCTGGTTTCCAAGCATATAAAAAAGTTATGTTTACACTATACTGTGGCCCATTAAGTGTACAACAGCATTATATCTTAAAAAAAAAAAAAATACATAACTTAATTTAAAAATATTTCATTGCTAAAAAATGCTAACCATCAACTGGGCCATTAGGAAATCAATCTTTTTGTGTCCTACCTTCAATGTGTAAAAAACGGCAGTACCTGAGAATCACAATGAGGTCTGCCTTGTTAAAACTAACTCACAAAGCAGTGAAACGTCCCTGCTCCTCACTCCAACATCTTATGTGAGATGACAGAGTAAAAAGGCCAAGCAGCTCTGAGCAAAGTGGGCCCTCTGCAAAATCCTAGGATTTCTTGGGTACAATCTGAAAGGCATTCAAGCAAAGGAGTCCATGAAACATTAAAAAAAAAAATGTGATATGAGAAAGGAAACATTTTTCAATTTTGTTGCCACCGCGTGCCCATCAATAAGACCCAAAAATAAAGACTACAGATCAATCTGAGCCAGGTAAAAAAAAACAGTAGTATTACATCTACCCTACCAAACCAATCATTTAACAACAGGCTCCTGTGTTTGCAATATAAACTTTATATTATCCATGAAAATCTTTATGAATCGGTTAGAAACACACTTCTCTTGAAATACACAGACAAGAATGAATCTCTCTCCTCTGAATAGCTTTTCCACTGTGAAAGAGCCTGAAAAGTAAAAACTAATAACATACACGTACTTTTTAATTTAAAGAACAGACTTCTGTAATTCTAAACCAAACGAACCAATTGTTAAATTTTTTTTATAAGACAATCAGTGAAATTAGAAAATTGACTGGATACTTGATACTATTTAAGAAATCACTGCTCATATTCTTTAGCCTTGATGGTGGCATTCTGGTTGTGCTCTATGCTGTTTCCTGGGCTGTGTTCTCCCTCAAGTATTATCTTTCAGATAAACCTGAAGGATTTACACATGAAAGGACTCCAGATTTGCTTTAAAATATCTAACAGGTGAATGAAACAGGATTTGTCATGTAATAACAATGACTGAAGCAGGATAATTGGTACAAGAAGCTTTATTATACTCATTTATATTTGGTATACAGTTGAAGAAAAAAATTCCTTACTCATCAAAACATCCTGTCAAAAGTAGATAAATTTTTGTCCCATTAAATCATCCAGAATTCTGCTTTTTTAATTTGGTTTGATTAACAGTAAGCTTTATTCTTCAAACCAATTAACTTCCTCTAGTAAACCTGTAAATGAAATACAAGACTTACCTTGGTGTCTTTTAATTTCACTCATCAGCTAGATGAGTGCCAGGTGAGGAAACAATCCAGGATTCCAATTTATAATTAGTAATCTTATTTTAACTTCAAAATCACATATCCGTTTTGAGTCAGAATGAACTATCACAGGTTTTGGGTTTGGTTTGGTGTTGTTTTATCTTACTCTCCCCGCTAGTATTTAAACTAAGTTTGGTCAGTGGTGTACGAATGTGAAAAGTAACAGATGTTCACTCCAGGAAGTAAACTCTTTCAATGAGAAGAGTAAAAGACTCAATCGAATGTGACACACAGAAAAGCTCCTAAAATCTCAGGGTATGACCCCACACACATCCTTATACTCCCGCCCCCCAGCCCCACACGAAAACCTTTTAAGTGAATAGAAAGGAAAGACCGGGGTTGGTTTGTTCCATGTCCTCCTCCTTTATTAGGGGAGGTGCTAGAGAGCACAGAAATCGCCAAAAGGCCGGAAGGAGAGCGAAAAGCAAGTAGTCTGGACAGTCAGTCCTTAAATAATTCAGAGCAGTACCCAAATCAGATGAAGTTAAGAGGGAGTTAGATGCTAAACGCCTCCAACACACCTGAGCAGCTCAGAGAGTGAAAAACCCTGGCTGTAAGTACAGATGATTCCAACTCCCTTCTCTCTCCAAATATTCACCGGTACCAAAGCGTAAAGAGACCTCTTCCTGACCCTCACCAATTGTAGCGCCACAAAAACCACCCCCACAAGCCCAGACCACGCTGGGAGCCCCTCCCCGCGAGGCAGGGAACCCCAAAACCATTGCTCCACTTCTCAGGCCGGAGACCCCTCCTTTTCGGGCCGGGCGAAGGTGAGCGGTGGGACTGAGTCTCGGCAGGGAGAACTCGTCTGCGCTGAGGCCCTCTGCGCTCGCCCGCAACTGGGTCTCAGATCTGCGCCTCCCACTCTGGGCCCAGGCCCGGTGCCCCACGCGGCCGGCCTCGAGCCTCGACCCGGGTTCACCCCGCGCAGGCGAGACCCTCGCGACCCACAGAGCCGCGCCGGCCGCCGCCGTGCGGACCCAGCCGCTGGCTACCTGTCTTCGCTCTTGTTTTTCTGTTTCTTCCCCATCGCGTAACAGCGGCGCTCGGGGCCCCAGCCCTTCTAATCGGTCTCTCACAGACCCACTGTCCGCCGGCCGACTTTGATCTCCGTTCGGCTCTGTTCGCCCCGCGCTGCCGCCTCTCGCACCCGGCTCTCCACAGACCCGCGCACTGGGACAGAGCACATATGGTGTGAGCTCTCAGTGCGCAAGCGCACCGCCCGGCCGCCTCGGCGTGGGGACGCAGGGCGCGGCTCATCGAGAGCTGCTCTTCGGGTAGAGCGTCTCCAGTTGTCTCGCCTGCGAAGGCGAGAGCCCTAGCGCCCCCTTCGCGCAAGCGCCCGCCACGCACCGCGCGGGTTTCCAGGTTCTAGAACCGAGGTGGACAATGAGGCTGAATTCCTCCACTTGGGCTTTGCCCGGTCCGGGAATGTAGACTAGGGGAATTGGAGCTCGGTCAGAGTTAGGCAGACCTTGAGCTTCCCTTCCACCGTTAACCTGGTTTTTTCCAAAGGAAATACATCCAGGACAAAATTGGGCCTCTCAATAAGATCCATGCATTAGGAAGTATATTGAGCCACTAAAAAATTAAAACGAAGACACAGTCATTACCCCCATAATAGGTCTTAATGTTGAAGAGAGCAAGTTCGAAAAACCTGTGTCAGGGAAGTCACGAGGGAACCTACGAGGGTGATGAAAATGTCCTCTATCTGGATCTGGTTAGCTATATGTCACTCTACAACATTTTTAAAAGGAATATATTTAATAAACAGGATGGATACGAAGTTGGACTGTCACTGCAGAACAGGAGAGTAGCTATCTCGTTTCTGACGTAATATTACGTGTACCGAGGCTCAGAGCCTAAGAGAGCCAGACAATTCCAGGCTGAGCACTAAGAAACTACGCCTCCCAGAATACTTTGCTCCCGCGCCCTCTGGGCGGTTTACCCGGTGGGAGGCAGAGAACCGGAAACCTTGGGCTCCCCGCAGCTCTGGGGAAGGCGCAGGCGCTTAGGCTTTCGCCGCACGCCCCACCGCCTGTCCTCTCACATTCTTGGGCGTCGCAAGCTGTATCGCGTAAAGGGCCTCAGCCAAAGAGGAGGCGGAAGTGACGGCCGGTTGGCTGACAGTCGCAGCTGCTGCGAGGCTGAAGCCGAAGTGGACTATTCTTCTGGAGTTGCTGGTCCGTCACTTCTCAGGTATCACCGAGAGCTCAGGTGAGGCAGAGATGGTGTGGAAAAACCGGCCACCGCATCCCGGTGCTAATGGACACATCGCCGCTCGACATTCGGCCGGGGCGGGGGAGGGGCGCGGCCCAGGTGCCGGCAGTGCAGCGGAGGCGGCTTTGGCGCATGCGCCTCGGGAGGCTTGGAAGTCGGGGCCACCTGAGCTCTGCCCTCATCTGTCCCGGCGGGCTCAGGGTGTGGTGAGGATACTTTTGAGAAGGTAACTGGGGTGCAGCTAGGACGGAGGCCTCTTGGTTGTTTTGGAGGGTACACATTGGGGGATCGGGGAAATGGTTAGGTAATTTGAGGATAAATCCCTTGCCGCCATTCCAGTTGAACTGAAAAAGGAATTAGAGACTTGTGGTTTGAAGAATGGGAAGTTATCAGGATCACTAAACCACCTTTTCTCCCCTTTCCGAATGTGGTGAACACTACCACCTGCCCCCAGAGCAGTTCTTGTTAATCGATTCTGCTCCCAGTTACCCTTCCCAGCATTAAATTCTGAGCTTATCCTATGAAACTCCAGGGATGAGCATCCGCTGTGCCCGGATAAGAACAAGTCTGATATGCAAGTCAGGGTCGAATACCCAATTCTCTGCCTCATTCACCCCCAAAAGAGAGGATCACAATCTCAGTGATAGTTTTCTTGGAAAGTAGGGAGTGTGAAATTCTTTTACAATATTTAAAATACAAGTCTTTTAAAATTTTATAGCATTTATGAGGAACTTACAATTTGGTTCTTTCAAGATTAACAATCTTTTTTGAGCACCTGCTGTGTCCTAGGCACTGCTAGCTCTGGGGATACAAAGATAAAATCAAGTGTCCATTTCAACTTTCTATCCTGTGAAGAAAAAGGAATCAGAAGTGAAGTTTGGAAAACTATTTTTTCTTTTTTTTCTTTTTAATTTTTAATTGAGTTTATTGGGGTAACATTGATTAATACAATTATATAATTTTCAGGTGTACATTATCATTTGACATCTGTATATTCTGTTGTTTACCACTCAAAGTCCGGTTTCTTTCAGCTACCATATATTTGATCCCCTTTACTCACTTCACCCTCCCCCTAAACCCTATATTTGATCCCCTCTACCCTATTTACCTCTCCCCTCTCCCCCACCCCACTAGCAACCACTAGTCTATATTCTATGTCCATGAGTCTCTGTTTGTCCTGCTCATTTGTTGCTTTTAGGTTTATATCCCACATATAAGTGATATCGTGTGATTTTCAACTTTTTTTATCTGGCTTCTTTCACTTAGCATACTGCTTTTCAAATTCATTCCCGTTATCACTGGTTTGTTCTTTTCTTTGCTAACCAGTTGATGAATATTTGGGTTGTTTCTAGGTTGGGGCTGTTATAAGCTTCCATGTCCTGGCCACTGTGAATAGTGCTGCTATGAACATCGGTGTGCAAATATCTTTTTGGATATGGGTTTTCAAGTCTTTGGGATAAATACCCAGGAGAGGGATTGCTGGATTATATGGTAGGTCAATCCTTAGTTTTTTGAGGAACTTCCATATTGTATTCCATATGGCTGTACCAGTTTGCAGTTCCACCAGCAGTGTATGAGGGTTCCTTTTTCTCCGCATCCTCTCCAGCATTCATTACTTGTCTTGTTGATTATAGCCATTCTAACAGGTGTGAGATGGTATCTCATTGTGGTTTTGATGTGCAATTCCCTAATAGCTAGCGATGTTGAGCAACTTTTCATATATTTGTAGGCCATTTGTATGTCCTCTAGAGAGAATTGTCTGTTCAGGTCCTCTGCCCATTTTTTGATTGGATGGATCATTTGGAAAACTATTTTTTTCAGTTCAGCATATAGAGGTCTTCGTGGACCAGGCTATGTGTCAGAAGCCGAGTGGATGAGTTCACAATTTATTCAGATTTTTTTTTTTTTTTTTGTAATGCCTACAGCACCTGATCTTCCTAGGTGGTCTCCCATCCAAGTACTAACCAGGCCCGACCCTGCTTAGCTTCCGAGATCAGACTGGATTGGGCTTGTTCAGGGTGGCATGGCCATAGACCTGTTCAGATTTTTTTAAAGTACTTTATTAGTATTTGCAAATATATCATAATTGGGATGCAACAGCCTCCTACTTTGACAGGCAAATTATAAGTCATATTTCTGTGGTAATAACCCAGGATTAAATATAAAATTGCTGTCTGATTACATTTTTTTAAAAAGATGTAATTGAGATAGTTCTTTCTAATAGGAATTTTTTTTTTTTAACTCTTACATAAAAGAGTGACGGAAAATCAATATTCTTTTTAATAGAGTGTTGCATTGTTTTACATCAAAGTTAAGAATGCTGAGTGTCAGAAAATCAATACCAGTATCAATTTCTGTGGCCTCATAGATTTTGTTATGTAATGGGAGAACAAGAGTGGAAACTAAACCTTAGGGAACACCAGGAGCCATTCTTTACATAAATTGGACTGTCTTGGGAGTTTAAAAAAACAAGACAAAAAACTGAAGCAGAGACCATGAAAAACATGTCTCTGCTCAACTCTGTTCTGTACTGAAGCAGCGTTTGGTATGTATGTTAGACATTATCATTGTTCACAGTCACTTCTGCTTTGCCTCCCTTTCATTTGGTGAAAAACACTGATTGTCACTATATATCACAAATATAACTTCAACCACTCATTTCCCTCTTGTCTGCTGATGGTTTTAAAGACTTTGCTTTGCTTTAGAACAGTAAAACACAAACTAAATCAGGAGCAGCTAAACTTTGCTCTAATTAGTTTTTGAGTGGTGTGACTATAATTTACTGAAACGTAAATTTTAAAACACTAAAGAAAAATTCTTAAGCCTCACATAAAGTGTTTGGTTGTTGGCAGCACACTTTATAGATTACAAATTACACATTTGCTAGAATTTTTGAAAATAAGAGATAAAATCATACTTATTGTTGGTACTCTTTAACTTTGTAAATCATCTCCCCAGCAGCAAGACTGAACTGTACCACTTAGAAGAATGGAAGCTAATGCATCTGTCGACATGTTTTCAAAAGTCCTGGAGAATCAATTGCTTCAGACTACCAAACTAGTGGAAGAACATTTAGATTCTGAACTTCAGAAACTGGATCAGATGGACGAGGACGAATTGGAACGCCTCAAAGAAAAGAGACTCGAGGCACTAAGGAAAGCTCAGCAGCAGAAACAAGTAACCTCTCTGCCCTGCTTTCTGAAATTGCTTTAACAGTATGCGCCTAACAATTTGTATACACACGTGTGATAGTTACATTTCAGTCCTCATTTTTAAGGATTTTTGAACTCAAAGTACCTATCACTTCAAAATTTACTTGGAAAGAAGTTAGTTTTAAAGATACATTCAAAATTAGCCTGATTAACGTGTAAACCTATAGTCAAGCAAAAGAAATATCTGCCCAAGGTCATTTTCTGAGCTTGAATTTGTGTGGTTAAGGAGAGAGTGGACCAGAAGGGCACTGACAGCAATAGGAGTCAGTGGTTTCCCTTTCCGGTGCTAGTGATGCCTTTCAGAATTTAGCTGTGCTCAGAGCAAATGAGATAAAAGCTGTTCAGGCAGTTTACATTGAAGAAGTTGTTGCAGGCAATTCCATTGTGACGTTTAATTATTACGTGGCGTATTCAAAAGAATACAGGCTGGGTTACAGGAGAAAAGTGGCCACAGCAAAATCCTTTTTGGCCTCTTAGAATATGAGTGTGGAAAGACTTGTAGTTGAAGAATCTGATCACAATAAATCGGGTTAAAGTCTGTAAATCGAATTATGATCAAAAAGTGTTTCCGTAGGTTTAAGTTGAAAAGCATTATCACCCATTCTGGTTCCTCTTCAGTGTCTAAAACACGAGCTTTAACTTTTCTGAAGAGATAGAGTTTTTGTGCTGCTATAGCACCACCTCTTTAATAATGTTTATACCCTCACCATTTAGAAGAATTGCAACAAAAGGAAAGAATCTTTTGTAATGTGACTGAGTTCCAGGTTTTATATTTTTTGAGTTTTCCGAAACTGTGTGTGTGTGGTTTTGAAAATCAGGCTCCTTTTCTTAATATAAGGCCTATAAATGGGATTCTGCTACAAACTCGTTTCATGATCACAGTTCAGTACACCATGAATTACTAATGTTTAACTGAAAAAAGGTAACTAGAATATATTTGTAGAAAGTCTGTATCCACCTGATTTGCAGTGAGGAACATACATAAATAAATGAAGTAGTCAGCAGTTAAAAACAATAGTCTGAGTATTAATAATTAAAAACCAATTAAGGTGGGCAGCCTTTGGGCCTTTTTTAAATCAATACACAAATCAGTTTTAAATTGTCATGGAGTAACTGAGTCTTATTTTAGAGCTTTCATTGCGTTTCAGCTTATCTTTTTCATTAAAACATTTTCTGAGGAAGTAGGCAAGAAGCCTTAATGGTTTTTGCAGCTCTTCTTTTTGAAAGAGTAGCGTAGCTTGTATAGGAATTTTGATTTTCTAATCCATGAGGGTATCAGGTAAAGGTACAGTGAAAGAAGCACATATTCGGCCTATGTTAATCAATAGTCCTCAGTCAGCCAAGCACCCTCCTTCTGTTATGGCAGATGTAGATGTAGGCCTTAGGTAGGGAGCAGAAGGACAAGGTGAGAAGTAGCAAGAACCCACCAGAGGCTTGGGTGGTAGTAGCCGCTGAGAACCAGACACTGCCCTGCTGCCAGGTGTTAAGTAGGCTCAGGCTACATTGTGATCTGTGCCCTTCCTGCTTGATCACATCCACACGTACCTGTGGAGCACACACTTCATGGAGGGAACCACCCGAACAGCGCAGGGCTATGCTGAGTGACCTGGGAGAGGTGCCGTGTGTCGGTGAGGTTCAGAGTGGGCTGGCCTCCCTCTAAGGAATTGGGGCAGGTTCAGGTCTTTCAGCCTGTTAAACACATGAGAGTAAATCATGAAAAGAAATAGCAACTTCTTAAACAAAAATACTCTTTTCTTAAGGACAGATGTCATTAGCCAGTCAAAAAAGGTATCATGAAAAAAGGTATCATGAAATGTCACATGTCACTAAGGAGTTGTATTTGAGAGTTTAAACTGTTTATAGAAGCTTTACCAAGGAAATGTCACATAAGGAGAAGATACCTAGGCCTTCTGTGAGTGTCAACTTAGTGCGAGCCAGTGTGAAGTGGAAACCAAAACCACTTCACACTGGCCCAGAGGAGGAAAGGACATGGCGCTCCTGCCCCTTTCTAATTGGGCCACTTCCTGAGGGCTGCAGTCAGACATCTGACATGTTTTGAAAGGACATGGAGGAATTAGATTATGTTCTCTGAACGAGGACAACCAGAAGATTAAGAAGGCTAGATACTGTTTCATGCAAGAAACTCTCAAGGGAAATGGAAATTTTAGTGTGGAGAAGGGAGGACATGGGCAAGTTACAACATTTGAAGGGCTAACATGTGAAAGAGAGATTAGAACTTTTCTCTCTAATCTTGGATCCAAGCGGGGACCAGAGTTATAGAGAGATTGCACTTCAGCATGAGAAAACCTTTCTAGAAATTAGGTAGTACATATACAAATGCTCTTTTAAGCACCTGTGCCAGATACTTCTGTAGTTACCTTCATGTTTTCTTATTTTCACAACTACTCGATGAGATAGTTGCTTTATGATGTCCACTTTATAGATGAGGAAACAGACTCAGAGAAGTTATTAAAATCCATAGCCTTGTAAGTGGTAGAACAATTAGTCAAGCTCATGCCTTCTGCCAGCAGGCCCAGTGCTCCGAAAAAGGAAACAGGCTTCCATTTGAGGTGATAAGTGTCTTGCCACAGGGAAGGCTCCAGGGGCTCAGGCCTGTCAGGTGTGGTTGAGAAGGGTCCATACGTTGGTTTGAGAAGCTGGAGTAGTTGGACTCCTGAGAGCTTTATTTTTGGACACCGTGTGAGTGGACAGCTTTTTCTTCCTAAGATACTACCTACTGGTTGCCCGTATAGAAGAGGTCTCTGCCTCTCTAAGGTCATAAAGAGCAAATAGGCTCCCAAGCTTCAGAGCTGCAGTAATCTCCCCCACCAACCCCACTGGCTGACTGGCTTTATCTCATGAGCATTATTTTTAAAACCTCTGTAGTAACTTGGACTAAATGCTTCTGATTTTAATAGTTTGAGTGCAAAGAAATGTTTGTTTCCATTCTAAGTCTCTTGAGTCTTAAGTTTTCAAAGTTCTAAGAAAACATGTTTTAAGTTACCAAGACAGATAATTGTCTTAAATACGAGCCATGTTGTGGAGATGGTCACTGCCCACAGATTGTTTTTGTACTGACATCGGGAACCTAGGAAAGTAAATCAACTAAAATGAATTCATTTCTCTACAAAGTAAAATCGACTTCATTACAAAGTATTGTGGTGATTTGAACACAAACTGCAAAGTGGTACTAAAAGAGATACCTGAAATGTATAATATTTCCCTTTTCTTCATATTAGGAATGGCTTTCAAAAGGACATGGGGAATATAGAGAAATCCCTAGTGAGAGGGACTTTTTTCAAGAAGTCAAGGAGAGTAAAAAAGTGGTTTGCCATTTCTACAGAGACTCCACATTCAGGTAACTTCATTTCCTTCATTGACTTTTTTTAAACATAGTGAGATATTTGAAGTGAGGTATATTGACTTAATAGAGAAATTAAGAATAAATGAACATATTAAAAATTAAGAATGTTTCCATAGAAGTGGCTGTTTTCTGAATTGTATTTCATTAACTTTAAAAACATCTTAGAAATGGACATGTAAATGTTTTATCGATGTAACAAAAATTATTTATATTTTTTTCCCCACTATTATGATATAGCCAGGGAGACAATAGCTTGGCCAGGCCTTTCACCAGAAGCATAGATGGAACTGCCAGGCTTGGCTAGAGGGAGAAAAAAGTGATCTCTTAAACCAACTGAGGTCTGCAAACCTCTCTACGGAGGTAGATCCCTTGTAAAATGAATCAGCCCCAGAAGAAGTTATATCTTAAACCAAAGGACACAAGTCTTTTTAAAAAAATTTTTTTTGATCAATATCTAGTGTTTAAAAATTGAAAAATATTTCATTTTTTTTATAATTTAGATTTTAGGTTTTTTAAAAAATTAGCAAACTCTATAGAAACAGACCTAGAATTCAGTGTGAAAGCACTTTGCAGATGCAGCGTAGCGCTGCCCTTTGATGGCCTTCCACTCCAGTGGACGGCCTCCGTCAGTCATTGTCATCTCAGCCCTGCCGCCTTCTCTCACTTCCACAGCCTGCCTGGCCCGTGTTGCAGCCTCACCACCCAACAACTTGGTCTTTAACACCTTTCATGGATTCACTGGCTGAGACTTAGTAAGAAAATAAAAATGAAAAAACACTGAGATGGTGAAACCATCTCCTGTAGGGGAAAGTACGGGAAGGGATTAGGAAGGTAAAGGGTAACAAAGAAGCCCTCTGCCATTGTGCCACACAGTCATCTCCCATGGGCACACATTCCTTAAGTGCCACCCTCTGACGTACACAAAGAGGTGATACAGTGATATCAGTCCGTAAGATTGATATTATTTGTTCACTTGTTTATTAGATGTCCTCACCCACTAGATCATTAGTTTTATAAGGGCGGAGAGTTTGCCTGTACTGTGGGCCATTGTGTTCCAGATTTCTGGCCCTGGTGCAGCAGTGGCTGACATGTCATAGCAGCTCAGTAAATGTATTTGATGGCTGCATAAACAGTGCAGCACCAGGAGTACTGACCTTCAAACAAAACTGAATAATCAAAATTTAAATCATTAATTTCTATCTCTCAAAGTTGTCAGTACATAATAGGCTGCATACTTTCATGTATAAAATACTAGAACATTCATAGTGACCCACTGAGGTAAATAGGGATAAATCCTATGTTTCCTGTGTGGAGAACAAGACTCGGAAGGATTAAGTGACTCATCTAATGACACTCAGTTACTAAATGATAAGAGGTTTTAAGCCTAATGCAATTTTAACTATACCATGACTGCTGCTTCTATATTTTAAAAAATGTATTGACAAATGGTATGTTGCCTTATTAAAAATAGGTTCCAGGAGTTGATTTATGTACAAATATTCAAGAACATATTTCTCCAATAACAGTTCAGTTATTTGTTTTGAGCTTCATTCAGACACTATTGAATAATTTGTTCTCTCCTCCAATTTTCACTGAAATCTTGCTACACCGTGTGAGTGATCTCTGAAAAGACACATTTATA